TCATTGTTGTTTGGCGGGCCCAGGCTGGGGATTCGAACCCGCCACCTTAGGTGTATGTGGCTGGCGCCCTAGCCGCTTGAGCCACAGGCGCCGAGCTTAAGTGACCTATTTTAACTTGCCAACCCTGTGCTGAGATACCAGGTCCTGGTTGAATTTGGTGGTGCAGCAACTTGAATGTCTTGGTCAGATCATCTGTCAGGAAGAGAACCTCTGCAAGGGGTAGAACCAGGGGAGAGAGAGGGTGTCTTACCAAGGATGGGAGATCTGGGGAGAGAGAATCAGGTTTTTGGTTGACTGAGACAAAATCTGATAAGGTGAAACATTTCTCCAAGGAGATATAACCTCAAAGTACAAAAAGACAAATTTAATACATTCATAAAATATTTCTCCAGAGAGGTATAACCTTCAAATATAAAAACAAAACTAGTTTTGATAAATCTAGGACCTGATCACAGTAGTATCACCATACATGTTTACTGAATGTACAAAAAAAAATTTCCCAGGGAGCTCCCTCATCTATCCCCAAACTGGCCTCACCCTTTAGACTCAGTCTATTCTGTCTGGAGACTCTGCTTCAGAAAATGGTGACACTGGGTGGCGCCTGTGGCTCAGTGAGTAGGGCGTCGGTATGCGGAGGGTGGTGGGTTCAAACCCCGCCCTGGCCAAATTACAACAAAAAATAGCCAGGCGTTGTGGTGGACGCCTGTAGTCCCAGCTACTCGGGAGGCTGAGGCAAGAGAATCACCTAAGCCCAGGTGAGATTGCTGGAGCTGTGATGCCACGGCTCTCTACTGAGGGCAACAAAGTGAGACTTTGTCTCTTAAAAAAAAAAATGGTGACATTTAGCATTGGGCATTATAGCCCTATGGAGCGGCAGCCAACAACCCTACATGGACTTGAAGTGGTATATAATTAAGCATAAGACTAGACCAAGCACAGTGGCTCATGCCTATAATCCTAGCACTCTGGGAGGCCGAGAAGGGTGGACTGCTAGAGCTTAGGAGTTCAAGACCAGCTTGAGCAACATCAAGACCCCGTCTTTAAAAATAGCTGGGCGTCGGCTACTGCCCTGGGAATGGAAATTTCTGTTCCATGTTCCAGAAGCCAGCTGGCTGTGACAACAGTGTGCCACTCCACGTCCTAATACATCGATCCTCTGGAGTGTCCTTGTGAAATGAACTCACTCAAATGGCCGTGTTGGGTCAAGGAAACTTTGAGGGAAATTTTGAGTTGCTGGACCTTGAGGAATTTGCTAAGAAGCAGCCGTGGTGGCACAAGCTGTTGGGACAGGAATCTGAGCCTTTGGTTGAAAAGTACAGTGTGGCAACCCAGCCGTTACTGGATGGTGTACAAGGTTCATATTCCAGAAGGTTGGAAAGTTGGCTGCAACAGCTGTGGGAGGTGGGTTTTTTCTTCTTCAGCTTGCAAACCATACCAGGTTCATACATCAGAGTTCACTGGCAGTGAGTAGAGAAGGACAAGAAGAAAGCCCAAGAGCAGCTGAAGATCTGTAAAAGCAACCGGATGCCTACTGAGGTCAAGAGCAAAGCTGAGGAGGTGGTGTCATTTGTGAAGAAGAATGTTCTAGTGACTGGGGGAGTTTTTGGAGGCTTTCTGCCTGGCACGGCATCCTAAGGAGAATGACTTCACTTCCGTTGCTGCTGGCTTTTCCACCCAGCAGCCTCTACACTCCATCATAGGACGCTAAGTCTCCTTCTTTTCCCGTGCCTTCTTCCCTGCCATGGCAATTCTGAATGGCCGCTTCTTCTTCTTCTTCTTCTTTTTTTTTTTTGTAGAGACAGAGTCTCACTTTATTGCCCTCAGTAGAGTGCCGTGGCATCACACTGCTCACAGCAACCTCCAACTTCTGGGCTTAAGCGATTCTCTTGCTTCAGCCTCCCAAGTAACTGGGACTACAGGTGCCCCCCACAATGCCCGGCTTTTTTTGTTGTTGTTGTTGCAGTTTGGCCGGGGCCGGGTTTGAACCTTCAGTATATGGGGCTGACACCCTGTCCACTGAGCCACAGGTGCTGCCCTCTGAATGGCTTCTCTACGCATCTGTTGGTACAAGTTAATACAGCCTTTTTGTTTGTTTGTTTGTTTTTGAGACAGAGTCTCAAACTATCCCCCTGGGTAGAATGCTGTGGCATCACAGCTCACAGCAACCTCCAACTCCTGGTCTCAAGCAAATCTCTTGCCTCAGCCTCCCAAGTAGCTGGGCCCGCCACAACGCCTGGCTATTTTTTGGTTGCAGCCATCATTGTTGTTTTGGTGGGCCCGGGCTGGATTCGAACCTGCCACCTTAGGTGTATGTGGCTGGCGCCTTAGCAGCTTGAGCCACAGGCGCCGAGCCGAAAAGTTCTATTTTTCAATCTTGCATTCCTCCATAACTGTTCACTAAGAATGGCATGGTGCTATGTCCACTTGGGAAATACAAAAATGTGTCTGACTAAGAGTTTAACAATCTTCACAGCCAGGGAAAAACTCGTACATATGTATCTATGCAACAAAATAGAAACTCACAAAGAGGAGATGAAAAGAGAAGGAGAGAAGATGACCAGTGGAGAAATGGCTAGAGCCAAGGTAGAATGGAGAATATGTGGTGTGGGGGAGGGATTGAGTTCCAGGGAATTAGAGGTCAGTTTGAAGGTCAAAAGTAGTTCTTCCAGGTGGGGCCTGTAGCTCAGTGTTTACGGCATCGGCCACATACACCAAGGCTGGCAGGTTCAAACCTGGTCTGGGCCAGCTAAACAACAATGACAACTGAAACAACAACAAATATCCGGGCACTTTAGCGGGTGCCTGTAGTTCCAGGTATTTGGGAGGCTGAGGCAAAAGAATGGCTTGAGCCCAAGAGTTTGAGGTTGCTGTGAGCTATGAGGCCACAGCACTCTACCAAGAGTGACAAAGCGAGATTCTGTCTCAAAAATAAATAAATAGGCTTGGCGCCTGTGGCTCAAGTGGCTAAGGTGCCAGCCACGTACACCCAAGGTGGTGGGTTCGAATCCAGCCCTGGCCTGCCAAACAACAATGATGACTGCAACCAAAAAATAGCTGGGTGTTGTGGCAGGCGCCTGTGGTCCCAGCTACTCAGGAGGCTGAGGCAGGAGACTTGCTTGAGCCCAGGAGTTACAGGTTGCTGTGAGCTATGATGCTACAGCACTCTACCCAGGGGTACAGCTTGAGGCTCCTATCTCAAAATGAATAAATAAATATATAAATAAAGGACTTCTTCCAATCTAGCTGTTCAAAATTGAGAAGTAGGCTGGGTGCGGTGGCTCACACCTGTAATCCCAGTACTCTGGGAGGCCCAGGGCGGTGAATTGCCTGAACTCACAGTTTTGAGATAAGCCTGAGTCAGAGCAAGACCTTGTCTCTAAAAATAGCTGGGCGTTGTGGCGGGTGCCTATAGTCCCAGCAACTTGGGAGGCTGAAGCAAGAGAATCTCTTGAACCCGAGAGTTTGAGGTCGCTGTGATCTATGATGCCGTATTATTCTACTGAGGCAAGTGAGACTCTGTCTCCAAAAAAAAAAAAAATGTGAGAGTTGTAAGATCACGTGGTGAATGCTGTTACTGAAGTATTCAAATGAATTTGGTTAATCTGGTAGGGAGAGTGTAGAGAATATTCCATATATTTCCCCCTTGTCAGTAGGAAGTTGAATGAGAGGTGTGCTCATGTTCCTTCTGACTCTATGCAGCCTTTATTTCACCAACAAAGGAACCTCCCAAAAGAAATATCACCACCTCATGCAAACTTTCTTGGAAAATCAAATATTTTTTATTAATTTACTGAATTTCATACACCTAACAGTCCTTAAAACAACTATCAACAGCAACACAACCACTTATAAAATGAAAAAAAGATGCCCCAAATAGCACCTTACCCCATGGCACACGTTCCTTAAGGAATAAGTGCCTTTAGGGTACAAGCATAACTCATTCTAAGCATGAAACGATTGCTACAGAGCTCCCTGGCAACCAACCCTCTGCAGCCTGGGCTGGATAGGCCAAAGTCTTTGTTCTCCCTTAGGTTTGAAGTCAATGTGATAAGTTAAGGACAAGTTAGATTAGATTTCCCCCACCCCAAGTCATTACATCAGTCCCTCTTCCTCTCAGAAGTTTATCTGGGAACTAGAGGGCCTGATCTACCACAAGAGATGGCTTAGACATCCCAGTGGGACATCCCAGCCAGGCCCGCATGAGTAGCCTCTGTAGGTTTCCAAGCCTAGCAGCCATAGGACCTAAAGCCACAGAGAACCGACAGCTCAGGCCTCCAGTAAAAAATCTGCTGGAAGGAGATTTCTCAAGACGGACAGTTCAATTTCACAAGCTGGCCCATCTTTGGCCAAATACACCAAATACAGACATCATGTAATGCCGCAAAGCCAGCCACAAGATGCTAAGAGTACGGAGAGCCTGGGGTGCTCTTTCAGCCATCTGGAAGGCGAAGTCGGCCAGGAGGTTCCCCTTTGGTCTCTGACCAACTCATTTGCCAGAGGAAAGACTGACTGGTCAGTGTCTGGGGTGCCTCAGGCCCAAGGCTGGGAGCTCCTAGTTCTCCTTCCATGCATGCTGTAACCTCTTGGCCACGGCAGTGATCAGAGCTGCTCCCTTTCCACTGCCATCTTCCGACAGCAGGAATGCTACATCACATCGAGGGGCTAGTTCTTTCACAGTTTCCTGTAATATCCGAGAAAAGCTATGAAAAAGAGAGAGAAATATCATCAGCCCGTATGTGTGGAGTCAGCATATTTATAAATGATTGTGATCTAGTTTCTTCCTCTCAGCTTGGGTCTCAAAGCTCTAAACAGCTCCTTTTTTTCAAAAAATGTTTAAAAAATATACAAAAAATATTTTAAGGCTCAGTGCCTGTAGCTCAGTGGCCAGGGCACCAGCCACATACACTGGAGCTGGCAGGTTTGAATCCAGCCCGGGCCTGCCAAACCACAATGACAACTACCAGCAAAAAATAGCCAGGCATTGTGGTGGGTACCTGTGGTCCCAGCTACTTGGGAGGCTGAGGCAAGAGAATCGTTTAAGCCCAAGAGTTGGAGGTTGCTATGAGCTCCATGGCACTCTATC